AGCGGGGGGGACGAGCTGGCCAGGGACAGGGCTGTCAGCGAGGTGGGGATGGAGGCCCTCTTGCACAGCTGGGTGAGGTTCAGGCCCTCCATGCTGCCACTCGTGACCCGCGTCTCCAGCTCCTCTGCACGGAGCTCCGTGGACTCCTTCTCCTCCTGGATCATCCTGGGAGAGCAGCAGCGCTCAGGGCTCCTGGCTCCCTGCCTTCCCAGGGACACAGGGCCTCTATCCTGGGGAAGTGCACCTTGGTCCTGTGCCTCAACCCCCAGGCTCCCAGAATGGCAACAAGATCCATCAGGATCCATAAAAACCTGAGCTGAGACACACCCTGATTCCTTTTAATATCCATGGAGGATATGAAATATGATTGTTTGAAATAATGACCCTCTGAGCCAGCACTGGTGCAGCTGAGAGACAGGGGGACTTGGCAGGAAGGACCAAGCCCTGTGGCTGGATGTCCTGGAGCCACTTCCCTGGCTGAAGACACATCAAGGTGCCAATTTTAGCCCAGCAGAGCCTCCTGGCTGTTGTTGTCCCCCTGGAACCATTTCTGCACAAGGCAGTGCTAGGTTTTGGCCACGGTCATACCTGATCTCTTCGTTGATGGCATCCAGCTGCTCCTGAAGCATCATGGCCAATGTCTGGGCATCTGAGTGCCCACCAGGAGAGAGCACATCCATGGAGCTGAACAGCGTCTCACGGTCATCCTCGTCCACGTCGGAGATGTCGGGGTCGCTGTCGAAGGCGTGAGGCCCCGCGGCCAGGACCCCACCTGCCTGGGCCTGCTCCCAGTCCTGGGGGAACAAGGGCCACAGTCCTACACAGCATTCCCACGTCTCCAAAAGCCAGATTGGTGATCCCCATGCAGGAGTTCTATCTCAATGTGACCCGAATGAGAAACCCTTCCATGTTCCCCCATCAATGCACCAGGAGAAGGAAACTGCCCCAAGTCTCCAGATGTGACCCCAATCCCAGGATGCAGGGCAGGAGCAGACCCTCACTCTGGGCTGCACAGGCTTTACCTTGGCTGGCTCCTCTCTCCGGGCACTGAATCGTCCCTTCTGTGCCCGAGGCAGCCCCGGGGCTGCTCCGAAGGGCTCAGCTGGGCCGTGGACCACAGCTCCCAGTGGGAAGCGCAGGTCGGTGGCACTGCCCATGTGGGACCTGGGAAGAAAGAGTCCTGTGGGGGACATTGCTCTGTGCAGGACACCCTCACCCTCAGGCTGCTCCTCTTGCAGCCCTGGCTTCTTGGGACAGAGGAGAAGGAGCAGGAGGAAGAGAACACTGCAGAATGCCCATCCCAGCGATGTTTGCCTGCTTGGCATGAAAGGATGCAAAACCAGGCGCTGGAAAAAGGTGCCCCATTCCCCCACAGGGGAACTGCAAATGTACTCACAGAATCCCTCACAGAATCATTGAATCACAGAATATCCTGAGCTGGAAGGGACCTACAACAATCAGGTCCAGCTCCTGGCCCTGCACAGACCCCCCAACAATCCCACCCTGGGCATCCCTGGCAGCACTGCCCAAACATTCCTGGAGCTCTGGCAGCCTCGGGGCTGTGCCCATTCCCTGGGGAGCCTGGGCAGCGCCAGCACCCTCTAGGGGAAGAACCTTTCCTGATATCCAGCATAAATCTCCCCTGGCACAGCTCCAGTTGCGGCCTGGAGTCCTGTCCCTGCTCACAGAGATCAGAGAATGGAGCTGCCCCTTCTGAGGAATCTGCAGCCTCTGATGATCTCTGACCTCTGGAGACTCCCAACTTTTCCAGCCTGTAAGAAGTTCAGCCCTGGGCCCTCCCCTGCTGCTCCCTCCTCTGTGCACCCATCAGGGCATCCAGCCAGTTCTGCCCCAAAGCCCCTGCACTGGGGCTGCTGTGGAGCCAGGGCTGAACAGGCCCCTCCTGCCCCTCCCTCTCCAGAACAGCTGGAATGTCCCAACACAGCTCGTTGTCTTCTCCATATCCATGTACCCAGCAGGAGCCAGGGAGCTCTTGTCCTTTTCATGTTTATTCCTGGAAGGGACCTACAACAATCAAGCCCAGATTTTCATGAGAAATGCCCTGATGAGGGTCAGTCTCTTCTCCCAGGCAGGGAGTGACAGGATAAGGGGAAATGGCCTCAAGGGAAGGTTCAGGTTGGATATTGGGAAAAATTTCTTAATGGAAAGGGTGGTCAGGCCCCAGCACAGGATGCCCAGGGCAGTGGTGGAGTTCCCACCCCTGGAAGTGTTCAAAAAATGGTAGATGAGGCACTTTGTGATGTGATTTAGTGGTTTTGCTGGTATTAGGGTGAAGAAGGTTGGACTTGATGACCTTAGAGGACTCTTCCAACCTCAATGATTCTGTGATTACAGTGAATAAAATTCCACCTGAAACATCTTACACGTGTGAGGACATGAGCTCTGTTGGGACCTCCCAGCAAGAATCAGCTGGGACCTCTTCACCCTCCTCATCCTTGCCAGGGCTGGTGCGTGGGCCAGGCCCTGGTGAGTCCCACACCAGGCAGAGCAAGGCAGCAGCTCAAGAGGAGGGCACTTGGAGCCACTCGTGGTGCTCTTTCCATGTCTCCACTTTGCCCAGTTGCTCCTCCTGGACCTGAAGACCCAACCATGGAGCTGAGCCAGGCACATTCCTGGGCACAGGGCGATTACTCCCCACATACAGTGCCACTGGAGACTCGAGGTTTCTTCAATTTAAGGTGAATTTAAGATGACAAAAGCAGCAGCCCAAGGCGGATGGTGGTTTTCCATCATGGTGGGCCTGGTTTGCAGGCCTGGATACAGAATCAGGTCAGGCTGGAGGTCAGGCAGACACAGGCCTGGAGACAAAATCAGCACCATGAGCAGCATGGCTGGAGCCTGGTGCGTCAGACAAAGGCACAAGCCAAGTTCCAGGGATTTCAGAGCTGATGACAAGCTGCTGCCCAGCTAAAACCAGATAAAAACAGCTCAGACAAAAGCTGACATTTCAGCTGGGGGATCATTCTGCAATGCACGATTTCTGCTGATTTTTCACCTGAGAAATATAAAAAATCACCAAATTGTCCATCCTGCTCTTACAGACCATGCAAAGAGGTCCCACACATGCTCCAGACTCTGCTCCAGCACCCAGCTCTCCTTCATCCTCACAGGCTCTTCCTCACCCTCTCCATTTTTTCTCTCCATGACAGACACAGGGTCTCCAGGCCTTCTTCTCCTTTCTGCTGACAGGCCCAAGGCTGGTTACATCAACTCCTCCCCATCTTTTCCAGCCTTGCTAAGAGGGGAAACTTCTTCACTGGTTGCTCCCACTGACCCCTTGCTGCCTTGAACCCATGTTGGAAGTGCTCAGGGCAGGGTGTGGTGTCCCAGGTGGGGCTATTGTGCTGTCACCCTCATTTACCATCTCTATTTTCCTGAAGCAGCTCTGGGTATCCTGGTCAGTGATGGAGGCTGAGACCTGATGAACTCACCTCTGCTCCTGGTGCCCTGGGCTGGGATGTCCCCATATCCCAGCTGACTTTAAATGAAAGAGTGTGGGAGGACCATTGCATTGGAGACAGAGGGGCTTCATTCTCCTTTGCCTGCAACAGCTCCAAAGCAATTCGTCCTTCTGCCCCAGATGTGATTCCTTTTGATATCACATCTGGAGGAGGAGTCCAATGCATTTGTAAGCCTTTCTTTTCAGGTTCGCAAGGAATGAAATGAAATTTCATTTCACATGCACCAAAGCTTGCCAAAATTGATCCCCTTTGAAGGCCAAAACAGAAAAGAAGGACTTAAAAACACTCTGGAATGGAGGTACCATCAAAGGAATTGCAATTGAAGGAAAAAAAAAGAAAATTGGGAAATTTTCTGACCACAAGAAAATGGACCAGGATTACATCAGGTGCAGTGCAAAGGACAAAAACAGGCCAAACCAACCATCCCAGATGCTGCAAAAGCAGGGGGAAAAGTCAAGGAGGAAGACACAACTTGGAGGGGAAGATATGAGGGACATGGCATGGATACTAAAAAAAAAAAAAAAAAGAAAAGAAAAAAATCTTCCCCAAAGTCAAAGCCATCAAAAGGCATGGCATGCCACCAAGGGCAGGGACATGCATTAAAGATTGACCTATTGGTCCCCATTGAAATCACAAGATTATGTTTCCCTTCCTGAAAGGAAATTTCATTTTTTGGGTTCACAAGCCCATCCCCTGCACTCCACAGGGGAAAAGTCCTCTGGTGAATATCCAGCTTTCAGAGCAAAGGAAGTCCTAAGCCACTTGTGCAGAAAAACAAAAGCAAATTTGGCACCATTCAGTTGGGTTGGGCTATTCTCAAGAGTCATGTCCCACCCCAGGACAGATCCATGGTGGGACAGCACAACTGGAGCTGACCCTGCTGTGGGGACCCTGCAGCCCAGCACTGGAGCTTGGGAGCACCACAAACACCCAGTGCCAGCACCACTCTGGGGCCCCCAAAGCAAACTGCCCCCAAAGCCAGGGGTGCAGGGGTTTGGCCTGGCACTTACCTGCTGTGCACACTCTCTACAAATGTCCCACTCCTGGTCTTGAGCTGATCCACCTCCAGCCTCAGCTTGTCGATCTCGTCAGACAAACGCCGCTGTTTGGGGGATGAGACAGGCAGGGCTTGGGTTTGCTCTGGAGAGCTGCCAGGTTTGGGACCATCCACATCCTTGGCTATTGCCATGCTTACATTCCCTGCCCCAGGTTTAAAGCATCTTGGACACAGCAGCAGAGAAAGAGCTCATGCAGGCAGAGGGAATGAGGGTGCTGGGGAGGGAGGATCAGGACAGACAGGCACAGGTGCTCAGGGAATGCTGCTTTGGGAGATGAAGGAAAACAGGTCCCACTTGGATGCTCTGCTCCTTCTCCAGACTGCACGTGTGTGCTCCCTTGGCAAGGGACTGGCAGTGAGGGACCCCCCAGCCAAACTCGCTGTCCCTCCTGCTCCCAGTCCCACCCCCATGGGGAAGCTGTGCCCACACCCAGCACTGGGAGATGCCAGGAGAGGCTGCAGACGGACAGGGAGGGAGGGGAGAAGGGATCTCCCAGGCACAGCAGGATGCAGTCTGGGGGACAAACAGGCCAAGCCAGGGTGGGCAAAGTGCCAGCAGTGTCATGCGAGTCCCCGAGCTCTGCCCTGCCCAGACCTGAGCACCCCTCGCTGGGAAGCACAAGGGATAAGCACACATGCTCCCTGCAGGCAAGGGGAAAAGCAGCCCCCTGATCCCCCGAACCATGCATGAGACATGCAGCACATCCCAAAAGCTCCCACTGCTCCAAAAAGCCATGTCCCTGCAGCTTTCTAGCTAGGCCACTGGGGGTTCATGCAGATGCTGCTGAAGTGCCTCATCTGAGAGCAGGGTGTGAACACTGCGGGGTCCCTGCAAGCTGGGCACGGGGCACAGCACCCCCAGCCTGGGGAAGCCTCGGGGGCCAGGGGCTGTGGCTGCCTGAGCCCTCATCCAGGCATGGGTGAAGCCAGCCTGGCCTCAGCACTGCACAGAGGGCTCAGGGATGGGTGAGTGTGACAGAACATGGACAGCAGGGAACTGACCCGGGGCTCTCTGGGGAGGGGTGGCAGCTTCCATCCAGCCACTGCATGGGTGAGTGTGTGGCCTCCTGCTGCTGGGCGCTCTGCTGCCCACAAACTGGGACATTTTAGGAGGAGCAAGTGCCCCAAACTGGGGATTGGGAGTGAGGCAGTGCCATCACTGGGTCAGGTCCCTGCAGCCGCATTTACCTTGTCATGCTGGTGTTCCTCTATCTGCTTTTGGGTATTTTCCAGCTCTTGTAACAATGTATTCTTTAAGAAAAACCAAAAATAAAATAAAAGGGAACAAAAACAGGAAAGAAAAAGAGAGACCATTTAGGAAATGGCCACGTGGCCTCCCCGGAATGGCCAGTGTGGAATTCCTGTGTAGTGAACACCTGGAAAAGGCTCCCTGGGCTATTCCTCGCCTGCCTGTGCACAGGTCTCCTCTGCAAAGCTCCTGCCTCTCAAGCAGGGTGCCACAGCTCAACTCCTGCCCCACTCTGGGGCTGAGCATGGCCATGGAGGGCGATGAGGGACTTGGTGGACGGGGCTTGAAGATTAGGAAATATGTCTGAGAGAAGAACTCCTCGAGCAACTAGATCAAAGGGAAAAATTTCCCTAACATCTGAACTAGGGAGTAGGCAGGGGGGAAAGAAGATGTGCTTATAGAGTCACAGAATCATAGGATTGTTAAGACTGGAAAAGCCCTCTAAGATTGAGCCCAACCATTCCCCTCAGCACTGCTGTGTTCATAGCTAAACCATGACCCCAAGTGTCACATCCATGTTTTTGGAACACTTCCAGGGATGGTGACTCCACCACTCTCCTCGGCAGTCTATTCCAGTGCTATAATTATTTCCTTGATTTTTTTTCCCCCCCTAATATCTGTCTAAACCTCCCCTAGAGAGTTTGTAACTGTCTGAACCAGTGCTCATTTTTGGTAAGTGCTGGCAGCCAAACAGGATCATTTTTGTGCATGAAAGACCTGGATGAACTCTCAGGGTGGGCAAGTGCTGGCACCAGACTGGGGAGCAGGCAATGCCCTTCAAAATGTGTCACCACTCTGGTCCCTGTTGCTTGCTGGGGTGGGATTTGGACTCATCCCTGCAGGTTGGGTCCTGCTCTCTATCCAGAGAAATCTGCTGAATAACTGGACATGCTGGCATAGCCACATTTGGCTGAGGACAGGAGGAGCAGAGCAATGGGGTGGGGGGACAGAGCCAGCCCTGGGGGCATCAGCTGGGGGATGCACCTGTGTGCTGAGGGCAGGAACCATGAGAGAGCTGAATCACCAAGGCCTGACCTCCCACTGGCACTCTGGATGGATGCTTGCTTGGAGCCAGCTGCTCCCAGTTAATTCCATTCACACTGAGGCAGCCACAGCTCCAGCCAGCTCCTCCCAGGAAACCCTGTTCCCAGGAGTCAGGTGGGAGATGTTCATGGACACTGCCCTGGCTTGGAGAAGGGAAATCAGTCTGCACCTGGGGACAGGAAAGTTTTAAGGCAGCACGTGGAGGGATGGGTGCTGGGACAGGATGAACACTGCAATTTTTCCTGCAAAATGCAGTTGGGATTTGCTGTGACAGCTGGGCACAGGTGGCATCAGGGCTGCACCAGCAGAAACAGGGAGGTAAGGGAAAGGAGCAGGACAAATCCTGCAGCTGTGGGAGGTGGGACGTGGTGGGGAGAGGTTCTCCCTGAATGAGGTGACCAGAGCAGTTCCCTGTGCTCCACCAGCCCCAGCACAGCCATGTCTTGCACGTTATCATTTCTCCAGCCCTGCACAGACACTTCCAGCCCTGGGCCATGGCTGGATGAAGCACAGAGAGACTGCAGACTCCTCAAGCCCCAGAGGAGCCCTGCCCCAGGCAGTACCTTCTCCTCCAAGGCTGCCATCCTCTCCTTGAGGTGCAGCTGCAGCCGCTCGTTGCTCTCGCTCAGCAGCCGATCCACGGTGTCCGAGAGCCGCTTGTTGTGCTCCTCGTTCATCTTCTCCCTCTGCCGTGCCTGGGACAGACACAGAGACACCTGTGTCACATCCACAGGGCTCAGTGCCCTCCTGCCTTCCTGTGCCTGCTGCAGTGTCAAGAGCTGGCCCACCAGGCCGTGTGTGGGGACAAACCCTGGTTGGACCCTCTGTGCTGGCCCTGCTGCCTCTGCCACCTCCCAGCCAGGGATGAACAGGAGAGAAAAGGATTAAGGAGAGCATGCCTGCGTGCCCCTCAAGGAAGCTTCTCCTGTGTGTCTGCCAGGGATACCCACACTGGGGGCACCTTCCAGACCCCACTGGACACGGAACCTCTGGATTTTCAAATATCTGTCTTAAGGCAAAACATCTGGGGGCTTCCTCAGGGCCACATCTGTAATGTCACCTGGGTGACCCAAGAAATGGGCATCACAGCCTCCTGCAGGGACAGCCCAGCCCCAGCTGAGAAGCACAGAAGCTGAAGAATGGACTGTACAGCTCAGGGCACAGCAGCTCAGCTTCCCTGCCCTTTTAATTCTGCTGATCCAGGCTCAGGGGAAGAACTGCTGAAGCATCCCCTTCCACCCTTTGGGGTTCCAGCTTCCTCCAGGGAGTGATGCTGAGAGAGGAGTGGGTGTGGAATATTAACAGCAAGTCTTGGATGCCTGGGAGATGGGAAATCACAGCAGAGAGTGCCATGAGCTCCTGTGTGGCTCAAGTTTAAGTGGTCCCAGATGGGAAAGGATTAACCAGGCTGTTGTCCCAAGCTGCTCCCAAACTGCAACCTAGGTGTGCCTAGGTACCCAGGCAGCAAGGATCAGGACTTACCCTGGCCAGCTCCTGGTTCTTCTCCTCCAGCTGAGTCTCCAGCTGCCGGAGGTGCTCCTCGATGCTCCCGTGCCTCTCTTCTGCCTGGGAAAAGCAGAGCAGCCTTCTCTGATGATGCTCCCAAAGCCATGAGGGCTCTGCTGCATCCTGGTGTCCATCTCTGCATCTGAGTCCTTCCTGGGATGCAGGGCTCTCTCCCACTGCCTGCATCCCTGCAGGGCTCCCTGTGAGCCCAAACCAGCCCTGCTGGCATGGTGACAGGAGCTGGAGGTGCTCTGTGAGAGCATTCCAGAACCCAGGAAGGGCAGGGATGGCTGCATCCATTCCTCCCTCCAGGCCTGCCCCCTCCAAACTCCAGCCTGGTGCTTCCTCTTTCTCCTCATCTTAGAGTGGTCTCATCCAAGCCAAAGGGCATCCACACCAACAGGGCCATCCCTGCCTTGGAGAAAGGGGCGGAAGGAAGGGAGCAAACCCCTCATGTGCAGGACACATTGAGGTGTCTTAAAGGCAGTGCCTTGTCCTGCAGCAGTGGGGACGGCAGGGGACAGAGAGGCCACAGCTGGGAAGCAGAGTGGGATGCCTTGGGCTGCCAGGGGCTCCATGGCTGCAGGGGTGTCCTGGGTTGGCTGTATGATGCTTTTATCCCCAATCGTCTTGTTCTCTTTATGCTGAATAGTAAGTTTTGCACCTTTAAGACTTATTGCAGCGAGTGAAGGGGGGAGAGAAATGCAGTTTTTTTTCCTCCAGACACTGCTCTCACTCCTCCACATTCCTCCTCCTGGACTGTTGTTGTCTGTGGATGGACAGACAGCAGGACAGAGCTCTTCTTTTGCTTTTTAGTTAGTGTTAGCTAGCTGAGGCAAAGAAGTTCCCTGGACTGTTTTCTTCTTTTCTTTGGACCTCTTGAAACTGCTTTGGACTGAACACCCAGGAGAGCACCGGCAGCTGCAGCTGTGGCCCACCAGGCCAGGCCTGGCCTGCGACAATTCCAGCACCGGAGGGACTGATCAGAGACTGAGTGAGCTGAACTTCAACCCGGGGTTTTCTCAGTTTGTCATCACTTTTAGAGTGGCAAGGGGTTTCATTGTTTGATGTTGTTTTGGTTTTATTGTTTAATAAACAGGTTTTTTCCACCTTTCTCCAAGGAGGTATTTTTTCCTCCCGGACCAGCTGGGGGGGGGGGCGATTGGATCTGCTTTTTCCACTGGAGCTCCTTTGGGGGACTCTTCCCCAAATTTGCTCTAAACCTGGACAAATACAAGGGGGCAGCCAGACTCAGCTCCTCCCCTGGTCCCAGCACTGCCCTCGCTCTCTGACCCCTGCCCTCCTTTCCAATCCCTGCCCTCCCTCTCTGATTCCTCCCCGATCCCTCCCCGATCCCTTTCCTCCCGTTCCCTCCGGTCTCTGCCGTCCCCTGCAGCTCCAGCCCAGCCCCTGCAGCCCGGCCCCAGCCCTGCCACTTGCCTTGGTGAGCGCAGCAATGCGCTGGGCCAGCTCTGCTTCCACCTCGGGCAGCGTCTCTGCCTTTCTCATTGTCTGCTGCAGCTTCTGCTCGGCCAGCTCCAGCAGCTCCTGCAGGTGCCGCGCCTTCTCCTCGCACTGCGGGACAGCAGAGTGTGCCACTGTGTGCCACCCCAGCATGGCCCACCCAGCACCCCTCCTGCCCCAGCCCCGGGCAAGGGGACACTCAGGGTCAGTACCTGGCGGTGCAGGGACTCCTTGTTGGCCAACTCATTCTCCAGTTTGTCGTTGAGGTCATGGATGGAGGTGGCCTCTCGCTGGGCTGCCAGGTACCGCTTCTCCAGTGTGGTGATCCTCTCCTCCATGTCCTCCTTCTGTGCCAGGGCCTGGGGAAGCGATGGGGCTGTCACATCCTGCTCTGTGACAGCATTTTGGGAATAGCAAGGCCATCTAGCTCCTTCGAGCCTGGGACACCCCGAGTCTAAGGGATGGGAAAACCCCCCTTGACATGGGGATGAGGGACAGCAGAATGGGACAGTGATGAAGGGAGAGTCAAACAATCACAGGAAAACCTTCTAGAGAGGACACAGGTCACTGCCCCAGGCGTGCTGCACACCTGAGACCCTGTCTGTAACCTCAGGGAAGTCCTGCTGAAGGGACTTGGGGACAATTTCCCAAAGGCAGCGGCCTCTTTTGGAGAACATCCTGCACATAACAGGAGTTCCAATCCCCTGCCAGCCCAGTGGACACAGATGTGAGGTCTCTGTCCTAGGCTGGGCAGTGCAAGGGGACAGGGACTCACTCACCTCTCTGAGGTCTCTCTGGTACTTGCTGCTCATCTCCTCAGATTTGATCAGATCCTTCCTGGCAGTGCCCAGATCCTCCTCCAGCTCAGCCACGCTGGCAGCCAAGGCAGAGATTCGTTCCTTGGCCTGGACCACTTCAAAATTCTGCTTCTCCAGGAGCTCCTGCAGCTCCACCACCCGCCCGGCCTCGTCGTCCGGGTGGACAGAGCCATTGGAGAGACGCTGCAAGGCACCAGAGGGAGGTGGATACTGGGATGCTCCAAAGCTCCCAGGCTGTGGCATTGCCTGCAGCTGCTCAAAGTGGGAACGTGGCCCTGCAGGGACTCAGTGAAGGGGTGGAAGTGGAGACAGGGGGCTCTGAGACCCCCATCAACAGCCTCCACAAGCCAGGGATGGGGATGCTTACAGGAATGATGGAATAGGGGTGGCTGAGGGCTTACCAGAGCAGAGCATCTGGTGGAAGATGTCCCTGCCCATGGTGGGGGCTGGAACAAGATGGCCTTTAAGGTCTCCTCCCATACAAACCATTCTGTGATCTCTGGGAAGCAGAACCCCTTGGAGCACCCAAGCACAAATTCAGTGCACCCCCTCAGAAATGGCCTGCACCCACCAGGAAGGGCATTTCCCATGGGGCTGGACCCAGAGGAGAGGGAAAACAGCTTTCAGCACCCTGGAGCCAGCACCAGGGAGGTGGGAGAAATGACATCCTCCCTGAGCAGGGTCAGAGCAGGGCTGGGCTGGGCTCTCACCTTCCATGGAAGTTTGGGTGCTGCTTCCTTGGGCTCCCTGTCCTCGCGCTCGCCCACCGCCGGCTCCCGGGCAGAGCCCTGCTGCAGAGCTGCCACCTGCAGGGAACAGGGTCCTGATCAGCACCAGGGACAGCAGGAGCTGAGGCACCAGCTCCCTGCCAGAGTCCTGCTCCTGGCTGGGGGGCCCAGAGGGAGCGGGTGAGGAACAGCCCTGAGCTGGCACTGCTGCGGTCACAGCTGGAATCCTGGGGCAGCTCTGGGCCTCCCAGTCCAGGAAGACACTGAGGGGCTGGAGTGTGTTTAGGGAAGGGAATAGAACTGAGGAAGGGACTGGAGCACCAAGAGTGGTTGAGAGAGCTGCAGGGGCTCAGCCTGGAGAAAGGGAGGCTCAGGGGGGACCTCCTGGCTCTGCACAACTCCTTACAGGAGGGGGCAGCCAGGGTGGGGGGCAGTCAGGCTCTGCTCCCAGGGAACAAAGGGACAGCACAAGAAGAAAGGGCCTCAAGCTATGCCAGTGGAGGGTCAGGTTGGACATCAGGAAAAAGCCTTTCCCTGAAAGGGGTGGTCAGGCCCTGGCACAACTAGCCAGGGCAGTGATGGAGTCACCATCACTGGAAGTGTTTGAAAAACAAGTGGATGTGAAACTTCACAATATTGTTCAGTGGGCATGGGAGTGTTTGGTCTAAGGTTGGAGGCTTTTCCAGCTTTAATGATTCCATCATTCTAAGAGAGAGGAAGTCAGAGGTGCTGGGAAGGCTCAGTACTGAGGGAGGTTTTCCTGGTGAGCCCAGGGCTCCCTTCCAGCTCATTTCACTGGTTTACAGCCACACAGATTCTGAACCCAGTGCAGCAGGAGAAGGGGGTAAACACTGGCATTGCATCCTGCTCTGATAGGGGAGGGTGGAGAATGGTCCCTGAAAGGAGAGGGGCCTGGGAGCCTGGGAAATACCATGAGATTTATCCTGGGAACTGGAAAGAGGAGCAAAATTTGGCCAGCAGAGGCTGTAGAATGGCTCCTTCCTTTTGGGACTAGTGGCTGGGCACAAACTCCAGGAAGGAAACCAGAGTTCATGTCTCTTCAAGAACACTTTATCCCTGGAAGTGTCCAAGGCTGGGTTGGACAGGGCTTGGGGTAACCTGGGATAGTGGAAGGTGTCCCTGCCCATGGCAGGGGGTGGAATGAGATGAACTTTAAGGTTCCTTCCCACCCTAATGAGTCTGGGATTCTGAGATGACCATGGCTGGAGGTTGGGGACAACGAAGTCCCAACCCCAGGACTCCAGCAGGGAAGAAGATGGGGGATGCAAGATGAGGTGCTTGAAGCAGTGTGGTTTGGGTCTCTGCCAAATCAGGGTAAATCCCACCTCACCCTCAGCCCCCTGGAATGATTCAGATTCAGACTGCTTTTGTCAGTTACATGAATTCCAAACAGCAAACAACAGGGAAATGTCACCTGTGAGACAAACAGTTCTCAGAATCTTTCCAAGGTTTCCTTAAACACAGACAAACCTTCAAGTAAACAGCAATTTTAGAACAAAAGCCTTACAAAGAACCTGACCAAATGCAAATACCACATGAACTGCCCAAGGTAATGGGGGGCATCCCCAGCCCAGCAGGTGCCCAGGTACCCCTTACCTGCCGATGGGCATCCACGAGCTGCTCCTCCAGGGTGGCCACGCGCTCCAAGGCTGCTCGCAGGCGTTCCCTCACCTGCAGGTGAGTGAAACAATGGGAAAGGCTGTTATTGATCCAGGATGAGGGTGGCCAGGATTTAGGCATGCTCCCAGGCCTGTAAGCTAGGCCAACAGCCAGGCTCAGGTGGATTCACAGGTTCAGGATCATCCAGGCCATCACAGGGGGTTAAATTGTCTTGGAGAAAACAGGCTGGGTCAATTCTTGGAGCTCTATGGCCAGAACAGCCTGAAGAGGTCTCCCAGCAGAGGAAGGAGATGCTTGGGGTGAATGAATGAGGAGGAACAATGAAGACTGACCCAGGGTGTCAAATGCCACCACCCCGAGAGTGACCTGGGGGAGTTCCCTGTGCCCAACAGCCTCATACCCAGAGGATACACTGGGCAGCCCTAGCAGCTCCTCACTGCAGCTTTGGGATATCCAAGACTTTCCTGCTGAGTGCCCCCATGTCACTTTAACAACACAAAGTAGCAGGGAGGGAGTGGAGGGGTGGGAGAAGGAACTCTGAGCAGGAGAGCTTTCCCACCTTTTCATCCAGTGCCTTGTGATGCTCAAAGAGTGACTTGAGTGCCTTGAGCACCTCGACCTCGCTGGACACCCCAGACGGTGACTGGGCCTGCCGCTTGACCACGGTCATCCTGAGGGAGCGCTCATGTCGTGACACCAGGCACTCCAGGTGCTCCAGCAGGAGCTGCAGGGGGACGACAGAGGGGCTGTCACTGCCACGAGGGGCCCAGCAGCCCCGGGGCTCCCACAGTCCCAGGGCTGGGGGCTTCCAGCAGGGTCCCCAGGCTTACCCGGGTGTTGTTGCGCTCGGCTTTCAGCTCTGAGATCTCCTCCTCCCTCTCCAGGAGCTGCTCCCGGCAGGCGCTGAGCTCCCGCGTCAGCGTCGCAAACTCCTGCGGAGAGCAGCGACAGAGCGTGGGGGAGTCAGCACTGCTGCACCTCCAGCACAGCATTCCCATCCAAACCCAACCAGGGCAGCACCGAGGGAATGTGGAGAAACCAGTGGAGAGGCACAGCCAGGCCAGGAGGGGATTTATTCCTGGCTTCCCTCATGCTCTGCACAAGGAGAACACAGCAGCTCAAGATTTATCCCACTTGATGTCCAATGGCACAAGAAGCTGTTCTACAGCTGCAGAGGTGCTGGACAGCATTGAAAGCATCCCAGTCAGGACCACCAGCACATTCCCATTCCCACTGTCCCCTGGATGCAGATCCCACCTTGGAGCATCCCATCAGGCTAAAACTCACCACAAAGCCACAGCTGGTCAGGATGAGCCCCCTGACCCTCAGCCAGCCTCTGCCACGACCTTAGGACCTGGAATCCTGGAATCATCCAAAACTTCCTTGCAAAAAAGAGGCTGCTGCCTCAGTCTAGCATGTAGAGCCCCAGTGAGCTGCATATGGGGCACCCCCAGGTCCCGAGTCCCAGCTGAGAGGGATGGGGCACAGCCAGGTGCCACCAGCTCTTGCTGCTGCCACTGCTTCCTCCAGGGATGTGACAGCCAGCAAGGAAGAGCCAGGCCCAGAGCAATGCCAAAGGAATGCTGCACACCCAGCACACCCCTCAAGACAGAATGAAAGCCACAATCACACTTGTGGCTGTGTTGGAGGGAAAGGGAAATTCACTTTGAAGTCCCTTGGATGCAGGAGGGTTCCCTTTCCCATAAGAAATGGAACCCAGGCACCTGGGTGAGCCCAGGAGCACCTCCCATTGCTCCCAGTGTCTCTTCAGTGGTGCCAGGCCTAAGTGAGGTTTTGCAGCTGGGATTTCTTAGGGTGAGAAATGCAAATGCAGGAACGTGCCATGAATTCACACCATGTTCAGTGTTGGAAAGAATTTTAAAAGGCAAAGGATTTCAGAAGGAGCCAAGAAGGATTTGATGGAGCATTAACAAACCAAATTTCAAGAGGGGGTTGAGAGCTGCTTTACAACATGAAATTCTTTTTCACTTTAATTTTCAGGTTTACCAAATAAAACCCCTTCAAACCGAAGCAAAGCATTGAGGCTTAGGCTGAACCAAATGCTCTGCTCAGCTCCAAGTGAAACCTCCTGTGACAGCTGAAGCTCTGAGAAATCCTGAGCTTTTACATCTGCTTGCCCCAGCCAGGTTTTTCCTCTCCCTCCCCTCCCAAACCTGTCCCACTGCTGGGGTTTGTAGCCTGGGATTGGTGGGGATGGTGGAGCCACTGGTGCAGTTGAGACCCCCACAGTGGGACAGCACCTGAGCAGGTTGCAGTGAGGGGAAAGGGAATAATCACTGATCCCATCAACAGCTGCTTTCCTGTCTGTCACCTGCCTCAGGCAGCTGCCACCCCACACCCCTGCTCCACATCCTTGTTCCACATCCCTGCTCCACATCCCTGCTCCGGCATTGCCCCAGGGTCTGAGGTCCCCAGTTCCTTCCCAGACCCCTTCCTGCCCCATCCATTCCCCAGGGACCACTCCAGCCCTGCAGTTTTCCCTCTTTCCATCCGTTCTTAGGGACCGCTCCAATCCTGGCCCCATCCCTTCCCCAGGGATCCCTCCAGCCCTGGGATCACCCTTTTCCCCACCAGTTCTCCCCCAGATCTGTCACAACACCCCAAACCTCATCACTAACCTCTGCCATGCCCCATCCCATCCTTGCTCTGGGACCATCCCAGAACCCCCAGAGCACAGGGAACCCTCGGCAGGCCCAGCTCCAGCGGGATCCCACTGTGCCAGCCCAGCCCTTCCCGGACCTGTGCCCTGCCCAGCGCTGGGACCACGGTGTGATCCCGATCCTGATACCAGTGTGATCCTGATCCCAATCCCGATCCTGATCCCAGTGCAATCCTGACCCCGATCCCGATCCCCGTGTGATCCCGATCCTGATCCCAGTGTGATCCCGGTGCAATCCTGATTTCGATCCTGGTGTGATCCTGCTCCCAATCCAGATTCTGATCCCAGTGCGATCCCGGTACAATCCCGATCCCGGGGAGATCCTGATCCCAAGCCCAGTGCGATTCCAATCCCCAC